TCCCTCTTTACAATCTTAGAAACTCCGTACGCGAAGAAGGAAATAGAACACCTGGTTCCTTCGATTTCCTAGTCCGAATCTGACAAGCAATTATTGAAAATTTTCACTTTTTAGAGGTGAAAGTGAAGCTAAAGTGAGATTACGAACACGACGCGACAGCAGACGCGACGCAGACAGATTTACTGGGTCAGTCCCGTTTCCTCTTGGCGAGTCTAATAATGCAAGAGGAAGACAATCGGCGTTTCCGTGTCAGCCCTCTACTTCCTGCAACCCGTTGACAGAGCCAATATCGGACATGACTTACGACGTCTGACTGGCATCACGCCCCTTACCGTGTCGCGCCGGGAACCATTGGTTCACCGGCAAATATGTCTTACAGGAGAGAGAGTTCTAATCCTGAGACTACCGCAGTTTCCGTGCGTGGCAACACGCATCCCTTTGCGGCCGATACTTGTCTTTCTTATACTTCAAAGTGCTGGGGAACGTTGGTCAGCAGTGGTCAGTTAGTGGTCACTCAGCTGTCTAGTGGCCAGTGGTCATTTATTCCGAACCGTAATTGTTATTACTGTTTAATCGAACACCGAATGTTACTCTACGTATCATAAATGTTTCATTATGTCGGAGATATTATTCTCACGACTACTTTTTCTCAACGATGCTTTTATCAAAAGTACGGACCGTTCCTAGAACGGTATGAGATAGTAATCACTGCCTAGCCCAAAGGAAAAACTAAGGTTACCAACCTGAGGTTACTGTAACCCGCACTAGCTACGAACTGATATCCCAATCAGGTTAAAAGAGAAGGTTAAAGCATCTATTACGGATGATAAGTAATTTACACTGCAGATATGGATGCGAATGCACATTTGAATAGAATTGAAATTCGATATTGAAACGCAAATTGAAATTCGTTTAACCTTCCAGAGACTCTAACGATTTGGTGCTCACTTTGCATATTTGCATTCGAAAAGTTGTGTTCCAAATGCGACGAATCTCGAGAAACGAGATTGTTGAATTGTCAACTTGAAAGAATTGGGCACACTTACCTAAACTTACTGTAGCAAGTCTTTAATGATACATGAATTTTTATTTTAACGATATAAATCTCCAATTTGAAATTTCAAGCGATGGAATAATTACAGAAGATTAAACTTAAGGAAAAATATTAAATTTACTCCCTGTGTGTAAATAAAGCACGACCTACATAGTAAATAAGGCATCAGTATGATGGAATTCGCTGTACCAAATATCTTAGCTTGTGTAAGCTCACATACGCAAGACCACGTAAGATACGCGCTTATGCGAACTTACTTTATTCTTAGTAGCGTTAAATTTGTCCCTGATGATGGCACCAGATATTACGGAACAGTCTACGTGTCATCGATTAATGTGATTTACTCTGAGGGTATGTACTCTATGGGTTTATTGATGTATGGAAATGAGGTGTCATTGATACAATTCAGGCTACCGCTACTACGAAACTGATGCGTAACGGTCGGTGGCCGAAACGTAACTCACGAAATTTGTCACGAGTTTATCCTTGGAACGTTGCTTGCATACATTATTCCCATCCGTGCATCGCTATTCGAAGAATTTTACGAGGTGCTAAGTGGCATTTAAGCGGCATTGCGAAGATACGCGAATTGTATATCTTGTGGCAAATTAAAAAACGCACGACTGGTTCAGCTGTAAACATAAAATTACTATTGATTAAGACCGGGTTGTCACTTTTTTATTTAATATTTAATATTTTTAAAACTACTTTTAAATACTAATACTCCTTGACCGGTTCACTTTTGGATCAATTTTCTTTTAGCTGCAAAAACTGAAGTTCAAGCGCCGAAAATACAAAAATAAATACCGTCCAATTCTTCCCAATTCTTGACGTAAAGAAGGTACTTCGAGTGAAAATTGAATTATTTTTGGTTCCAGAACCCCGCTAAGTTTCGCGAATATAAGTTAGTTACAACGAATTTTCATTCTGAATTTATACCATTCATTCCGAATTTCCTCTTTATTTTTACTTGACCCTTACAGTAACTTTCATACAGTTTTTACTTTTAACTGTTTTTCCCAATCTCTCTCTCTCTTCCTCTTTGCTGTAATTATTCTCAACAATATCTTAAATATTTCACGAGAAATAAATATTTACCTTCCCGCCCAATAGCATTCACCTTGCGCAGAAGTCGTGTAAAAGTGATTGATGAGATAATACAGAGAAAAACCAAAGATTCCACGCTTTGTCCTGATAGCGATCAGTGCTCTAATTCAGTATGAAAGAGAACAACAGCCACAGGTATTCTCGCGATATCGAGAAAACGAGCCGAACGCCTTGTGCGTTCTCTCGCTAGATTTTCCTCGGTTTTTCTCCAATACTTCCCTTCTTATTCTCTATTCCCATGGTCGGCGAAACGTTCGACGATATCTTCCTGAAAGGCTGCATCTCGATACAGTAAGAGCTGCGTGCTGAGAAAAGGAGGTCCTTACCGTTTCCACTCGCAGCGGAAGCTACAGTAAACTAGTAGCTGAAGCGAGAAATCCTATAAGCTTCCTTTTACCGCAATAACGTAGTCAATATAAAGCGTAGAAAGATCGTCGCGTGGGAAGCGCGGGAGGCTCGTTACTTTTTCTTCCTCTGGCGCCTTGCTTGCTCATTAAATCGTAAATTGTCGTCAAACAGGAAATAGAGTGCTTCGGTTACAGGCCGGGAGCGCTAGAGGGAAAGTGACGGATGGAAAGAGAAATTTTCATGGTAAACAAAAAAAACTCTCTTTGAGTTTGAATATATACTTGTAATAGCTTAGAAAAGATATCGGTCGTTGAAACGTCTCGATTCGGAGATTCAAACTCTGATTTAACCAAATAAGAGTAATCCAAAAAATTGTGTAACTGTCGTTTGTGTAACTGTCATTGTGATTTTCCTTGATTTTTTAATACGTTGATTGTCGAGTTGATAAATCTCTCTTATAATTTGTACTTATCTAAAGCTTCTTTTACCAGTCTTAAAATTTTTTCTTTCGAGAAAAACTAAAAGGAAACGTTTATCGTCAGCAACCTACTGCTACAGAGACCATGATGAATCGCATAATTGGAGCTTGTGCTTCTATCAGCAACAGTTGAAAGACCATCACAATTCGCGATTGCTCCTTTCAGAAAGTTTATAACTGCGGTCGGACATCATTTTGAGCATTTGAAACGTAATTAAGTTCAGGTACCATAAACTAACACTGTCTTACAATTTAATTATATTCTTGGGTCTTTAAATATTTTACATGAAAATTCGAATGCTACATTCACGAATCATTATCGCTTAAATTACTAGTAAACTGGAAATAAATAAAAATGAATGAAATATGAATTTAAACAACATTATTAGCAGTGTACTTAAATCTTACTGCAACATATAAATTGTTTTATTTTCATAGTTTTGCGGAAAATTTAAAATAAAATCAATTATTCCGTATTTACGATTTTAAATAGTGCTAAAATGTAACATGAAAACCAACGCAATCGCAAGTTCCGTGCATCTGAATAAAGAATTCGCTACAGTAATTCTCTCCTGCGTATGACAATATTTATGCTAGAGTCAACTAACAGTATGTACTCTCACCACCAATGTTTAAGGTCGAGCAAATGAAAGATCAACTTGGTTGACCCTCCAGCCAATTGTCCTGTTGAGGGGAATTCTTCCACCTCTTTCTACTTCGACCGGAAGTTCAGATGCATAGAGTGCGGTAGCGATGGGATCGAGTTGAAACTATCATTCAGTTTTGTCGTTCCCTTTGGATATTTATAAAGAAGCGGGGGAGGGAGGTTTCATTAAACAAAACAAAAATGGAATTTGGTAGATTTAGCAGAAACTAAACATTAATCTATCATTTATACGCATTAAATCCAGTTAAGATATCTTGAAAATTTTTTGATAATTTTGTACGGAATTCATTGTTTTTATTACGACTTGTGCACTTAATTAATTAAATATATTATTTAAACGAAGGATGACTACCATCCAAGCTGGAAACGAAGGGAAGCAAAGGTTAATTATTGGATTATACATACGTATGCCTCCCTCGATGCCATGGAACCGTTGATTAAAGAATTTCTTCGAGCGATGGGGCAATTCACGAGTAATTAAGGTCGTCAAGTTAGGTGACTCACTTTGTATTTTTAGGTTTGACCTTTCGCGCCCACCGCCAGAGGGCATTCCTTTATTCCTGAGTTTCTCAGATCCTCGACTATGTAGCCATGCCTTCCTTTAAATATTTCACATCTACACACAGTGGCTTGAAACAATTTGTCTACGCTACCAGTAAGACGTTGAATTCACACCCAATAAATCCACGCATTCAGGAGCATTCTAATTCAATCTCCAGAAATGTTCAGAATGGAGAGTCGGGGATAGACATTTTATTACATTAACGAGTACACTGAAATTTTAATTCGATATATTTCCTTTTGCAGAAATAAACTGAACAGAAAACGTACAAAAATGCTGCAATATATTTTTTTTTTCAGTTTCTGTGTCATATTTTTCGATGCTATGCAACTAACAACCAATTCAACGAAAGAAATTCTCAAAAATCAGAAATTCCACTCGTCCACAGCAAAACACCTCCTTGATAGATGTATCTCTATATTCTCTTCAGGAAAGTATTAAGAGTCCCAAGTGAGAAAAATTGATTAATTAAGAAGTTACGAATACATAAAGCGTGTATGTAGTCGGTGCATCGTGGGGTGGATGAGGGGGTCCGTGCGGCGCCACGTCAAAAGACTACGCGTACAGGTGACGATACGATGCGTCACGGCGATTGATAATGGAAGTATACGAGGACCACCGAGTCGAGGGATACCGTGAAACGCGCCGCACAATTTGAAGGGGCCGACCAGCACGGACGACCAAGGGCTGAAAGTGAGGGAGTGGGGCGCCGAGAAGCGTCGCGACGCTTGTCGGTAGCGCCAGGAACTAAAAGTCCGGGCAGCGCGACGCGCCAGTGTTCAGCCCGCGATCGTCGCGAGCGTACGCGTATTTTTATTCGGTTTTCGTTCACACGTACGCTACTCGCGTATCGTACGCCCACGCATATAAACGCAACCGACACGTTCGAGTACTCGAGGAACCCCCGTTTGCGAACGTCCCTTCGCCCGATAGGGGATGCTCCGCGAGAAACTTTACGACAGCACGCGTCGTGGGGATACCGAGATTTCAAAAGGTTATTAATTAGTGATCAGTGACAACATTTTTATTCGCAAGCTTTCAGTACGAAGTTGCCGAGAAAAAGTTGTTAAACATAGTTTCATTCGAAACTTCCACTCGCCGCGGGTTCTTTCACACGCGCGGAGTTAATCTTCTAGGACTAGTTCTGCGGGGAAAATCAAAGTTTCCTTCGGGATATCCGAGGATGATGGTCGCTGGAAAGTTTTTGGAGATTATTGGGGGTTCAGTCTGTTATGATTCGCGAGTTTTAAATCTTCCAACGACGGGAGATGAAAAGGATTCGGTGATAGGGGTTGGGTTATTGACTTTTGGAATTAACACTGGAACTATCGAAAAAGTCGATTCGGTATATCTATTTCTACGCGTGAAATGAATTAATCGCTTCCTCATCGTCGATTCTGGATGATGCACAGAAATATGTAGGATTACCTCGATCTTCGGTGCTTTCACTCGTGACGGTAGTCCAAGTCTTTAGAGTATGCACGTATTAAAGATTAACTTCCACAGTTCGGTAGTTGAGGTTTACGTGAGGGCGATTAGGATTGGTTTCTCTCGCAGCGTCTCGGGAATTAAAAACGCAGTCGATATTAAAAAAAGAACATTCAAATAGGAAATATGCGAATAGAGTCATTGCATAGCTGAAATGTCGGTGCAATAATTCTAACTTAATGACATAAAAATTTAAACGTATAAAGTACGTAACTATTTTGCGGATGTTTATGCATTTATGGCAATTGGAAATGTGTGAAGCGCATAAATTTAAAAAATGCATAAAATATCAACATTAAAAACATGTTACAGTATTTACAAAATAAGAGATACTTTCATTTAAATATCATTTCCTCATTTGTATCTACAATAAAGTGAATTTGCATAAGCATCAGCAGCCCACTCGTAACAAAATACACCCTGGGAGTAGATCCTGTCATCGACTGTCAGTTCGTAATGCTATTAGTGCAAAGTACACGGGGGACAGAAATGACGTTGTGTCGATGCTTCGAACAAAATACACGGTACTTTCGTAAGCGGATAACTTTTCATTCTTTAAATTAAAGAATTGGTTTTTCGTTAGTGCTTTCCCCAAGTATCAACTATTGCAACGAAAAGCATCAACGTCTCCAATTTCCATTTTTCTTGAATCAGCGATATTCAGTTTTGTTTGGTACATGCAGGTTATTAAAATTAATTCTTCAAGGATGAAAAATAATTTTGCCTACGCTAAGCTAGAATTGCATAGATCCAATCCGGCAGCTTGGTAGTTTTACCGTTAAAGCGTAAACCGTAATTTTCAGTTTTCTTAATATGTCGATCGTCGAACCAGTCTCTTGGTTCAGAGAAAAAGTAAACGATACGTTAGTACCTCATTCGTATAGAATCTTAACCGCGTAGATAGATGCAGGGGAAGCCGCTACCTAATCCACTGAGTTTCTGAGAAAGAAACCTTAAATTAGCGCTTGTCCTATAACCTTACCACTTCACATATGGATTATTCAAATTTAACAAACGAAACCGGAAGGGAATTATTTTATCGGCTGCAAAAATAATACCCTCTCCCATATTATCGAAGTATCCAATTCGATATTGGATACTTCGATAATATTGCAATAAATTTCTATATAAAGCCGATCACGTTGTACGTCATTCAAAATCGCAAGATTCCATTCACCATTTTCATGACACGCATCGCGTGTTTTTCCACGTACATATGTGTGCTTCAGCCTGAGTACCAGCATCTCAAAGTTTACAGATAAAAAACAGAATTATATTCGCGCCATGGTATCCGTTCCCGGAACGCGTTACAGGGCACGTACGTTCTCCTGCCCCCGAGAAATCAGATTCGCGATCGAGCTAGTGAAAATTGTCGTGACTGGTGCGCGAAATTCGGGCTCGCCCCCGTTTATACGACACGTTTCTTCGGAATGCGATCGTTGTACGGCCGTTGCGCGGCCGCGGTTCCAGCGTAAACCGCGTTAAAGGTTTTGCAGGAGGAATTGTTTCGCGTGTACCGCCGGCTCAACGACTCGTGCCGTGGTGAATTTTCATTTTCAGTTGGCTTCGTCGGAATCGAGAGGCTCCCTCGGTTTTATACGTGACTTTCGGATACGTTACAGTCAGCCCCATGTCGTGATTTCATCGTCGCACGAATCTTATTCGACGTTGAAACCGTCGCGTTGGGATTGGTAACAGGTCCGCTCGCTGTGGCTTAACGAGTTCAACGAGTTTTTCTCGGTCGACCGTTTGGTAATTGAGGATTCACTGGCGCGCAGAATTCACCCCCACCCTCGATACGATACTTTTATCGACAAATTAATCCGTATTGATTTGTCCGCGCGCTGAACAAAAAGGATGTTTCCTTTCGAGTCGATGACACCGACAGGTGTTTTAAGGTACGTTGACGGGGCCTTTCAGAGATCGGTTCCTTGGACGTCTGTGTACGATCTATTCAATGAATGCGTGGACGCGACATCTCTGGAAAACAAATTTTTTTGTGAAAACTTTTACCTGAAAAAAAAAAAATGACTGATTATACATACGTACAGCACAACGTTATTTGTAGAAATTCGTTATTTTGTAAATCCTGTTGAAAGAATATCGTGTTGATCGCGGTACAGGTGTAGTTTCTTTCAATTCCTGTTTCTCAGCTCGCCGAATTTTTTGGTTCTTTACCGCGCGTTGCGCCTGGCTATTGCAATCTTTTTCCTGATCATATCCGCTCACTTTCCATTACTCTTTCCTTTAACCCCTTCGTGCTTCTATCTAGATTCGGTGTACGCTACACCTCTTTTTCTTTTAATGTGTAACCGGCCTGTTTCACGCAAAATCTAACGAGATTGCAATAGAAGGAAACGTAAAACACGTTTCCCAACGGAAATAAACTTCGCGAAGCTAACTGCTAATTATTCATTGCGCTTAAAAATTTGCGCCGGGCCGTATTGATTATTGTTTATACGGGATTACCAAAAAGTGGATGGCTGTTAATTGTTTCCGTTTCGAATGTACAAGAATTGTCAGCAATGATGAAATAGACGAAGTAATATTTGATAAAGTAATGGTAAATATGATAACGTAAATGAAGAAACGAACATGATATTCTTTCATTTTTTCGTAATGCAATGGTTCATGGAATTTATTCGCTAACTTCAAGCCTAGAAAACAATCAAGAGTAAGTTTACAAAATTTAATTTTTACTCTGAAAGTGTGTTAATGGAAAAACGGAGTTTTTATTCTTTTTTTTTTCATTTTCATACTTTTTTATTTTTCACGTTGCTAAAGCGACTATTTTACCTAGGAGGAAATTTATTCCGAAAGGTCGATCCTTCTCAATAAAAAAACACTCGGGAAGCCCATACTGCTGATAGTTTGGAGGAAAAAAAACATACCACTAATACCACTATAAAATAGATAACGTAAATTCTCATAGAATGTAAGGTTGAATGGAAGTAATACCATAAGTTTATTCGTTCTTTAATAAATATTACGATCTCAAGTAAAGATTTTTGGACCAAGTAAAGATCTTTGTATCCAAAAACAATGTTAAATGTAATGAAATAAATAATACTTTACATTAGTTACGTTTCTTTTTATTTCTTCTTTTTATTTTTTTGTTCTACATACGAATCGAAACATTTCCTTCACCTATAACTTCTGGTACCAAAAGGGATGTCGATATACTCTAATTTCCGATTCTTTCATGTTTCTATCGAAACTCCGTAATCCCCCCTTTTAATCCTTCCAAAATAAGTAATTAATTAAAGTAAAATTAATGTATAAAAAAGAACTTTCTGAAATTTTTAAAATAAAATATCATTCCTGTAAACAAATGAATTCAGTAAGTTAAAAATTCGATTGGAATCAGAAAAAGGATAAAGAAAAGCGTACAAAAATAAAATGAAACTAATTAAAAAATAAAATGAAACTGAATCATCCCTCTTCATTTCCCCTTACTTTTGATTATACCGCTGTTTCGTTACACCTAATGACTGTTCGTCAAATTAATCCCTCGGTATATCGGTAAATCAATAATTTTTAAGCACCGTAGAGCTGGTAACACCGTGACGCGAATAATCGACAAAACATCCAACGAACTTCTTTTAAAGCAGTGATAGTAATCATGAATCATACATTTTTTTCGTGTTAAAATTATCAAGCAGAGAAAAGGCAACGCGCCTATCGTACCGCGCCATTTTCCTATGTTAACCATCATACGTGAAAGTTCTTACGCGTAATAATCATTTAAAAGGTTATTTTATTACACCTGACGTAGGTCGTAATTAACTTTTATCAAAACTTGTTGATATCTGCATGCAAATCTGCGCGAATCGATACGGTCAAGTATGTTCGTTGATATACCTGTAAAATACAACCGCTATAGCGTTCGTGTGTAAAAGAAATGGTAGAAAAATGTAATATGTGAGGGAAATTTGAGAAATACTCGACTTGATAAGCACGACTCTGAGGATTATCGAAATAAGAAGTACAGTCAATCAGACGTGTAATTAATATAAAAGATTTTGCGGTGCAGGTGCAAATAAATCTTGCGCGCTGGTGGGAGCCCTCTTCAGTTTTAATTCTAGCGAGTGTTCTATCGCAGAGAGAAAGAAAGGACAGGACGGGATTAAGGGGAATATGAAACTACGAGTAAGTGGAATATGGCCACCGTAATGTTATCTGTGATGACTGACTGTATGACGTCTGACCCAGTGGCCAGTAACACCTTCGAGTGAAGTTTTTCTTTCTACGCGAAGTAAAGGAAAGAATTACACATTAAAGAGATTGTATGTACATTTTAATATCTGGTTTACGCGGGCAGTTGTGAATTCCTTACGCTTATAGCGAGTGTTTATATTTGGTTGCACAGTCATATTATTTTTCTCCCTAATATCGCTTTCATCATGTTAATCAGAATTAAGAAAGGAATATTTACTTAATTGCTGATACAGTGAACAATTACAAAGAGTAATGTTTACGCTCGTTGTAACTGAATCCAATTGTATT